TTTCCCTTTGGGGTTGCTGTAGGTGATCTGGAAGTCTGTTTTTGAGGCTTGTTTGTGTGTCTTCTCATTTCGATGGGGTGGCAGTGGGGGGTGGGGGTGGGGGGGCTGCTGCTGGCGCCCACATGGCTCACCTCCTCAGCCCTAGGAGCGGTAAAATGGCAGCCGGGGAGCCTCCTCCTGGGTGCTGGGATTGGCTCACCTCCTCTGCCCTGGGAGCAGTGGAATGGTGGCCTGGGGCCCTCCTTCTGGGAGTGGGGATTGGCTCACCTCTTCTGCCCTGGGAACTGTGGAATGGCAGCTGGGCTCTATGTGGTATTTTTTATAGAACCTTTGGCCTTATTCACAAATGACTTCATTTTATCAGTAGTTTTTTCTTCTTGCTTATCATTAGTTGTAAGATGCAGCACATTTTCATGGTTCTCTTTCCATCAGTTGCATTCAGAGACACATCAAAATTAACAGTATAACAATCTTGTAGACTAAAGAATATATTTTATTTTGTGATGCTGTGGATTGAAACTAGGACTTTACACATGCTGGTTAAGCACTCTGCCAGTGAGCCATATGCCTGCCTTAAACTAATAAATATTTGACTGAGATGAAAAATACATGATTTCTTCTGGGGAGGGCAGAGTTTATAGGTTTTTGCAATGAAACATTGCTATAGAGCTTTTTAATGTATAGCTTAGAGGAACTCCTGAGTGTAAAACTAGACTACTTAAGGTACTATCTGTTGATATATAAGTAATTTGGCCAGTATTGTGAGTTAACAAGTTGTGCTTGGGTTTTTTTTTAAATACTGTTTTCTTTGCTGTAGGAGTCCAAGGCATTGTAGAGGCATACCGGGCCTGTCTCCCTCAGATAAAGCTCTATGGACCAACTAACTTTTCTCCAATCATAAATCATGTGGCCAGGTTTGCAGCTGCAGCCACACAACAGCAGACAGCTTCTGTAAGTGCTCTGTGGGCAAGGGTGGGAAGAATATGGATTGGTGGTGCTCTTGGTGCCATATTTCACAATACAAAGTCAAGAGCAAGAAGCGATGATACAGTCATTATTGATTTTGGAGTACTATCTGTTGTCGTTAAATTACTAAACATTAAAAATAAGACAATAATAAAACTAGGCTGGGGATTTAGCTTAGTGGTTCCGCTGCCTACCTCACAAGCGCCAGGTCCCGAGTTTGATTCCCGGTACCAAAAACAAACAAAAAAACCCCAGTGATTGCATCGATGAATTTCTTTTTGTGACAAAATACCTGAAATAATTAGCATAAAGAAGGAAAGATCTGTTTTGGATGACAGTTTCAGAGGGTTCAGTCCAAGGTCACTTGATTCTGTTACTTTGGGCCTTTGGTGAGGCAGGGCATCATGGCAGGTAGTGTGGGAGAGCAGAGCAAAGAGAAGAGAGAAGCAAAGCAAGAGAGGGTGGTGGAGGGAGAGAGTGGCCTGAGACATGGTGTACCTTTCAGGGATACTCCCCCAGTGACCTCCTTCTTGTAATTAGGTCCTACCTCCTAAAGTTTCTACCATCTCTCATAGCACACCAGCTGGGAACTAAGGCTTCAACACATGAGCCTTTGAGGGCTGTTCCTCAAATCATTCCAGACTGCTATTTGTTGTTGAGGCAGGATCACTTACTGTACTAAAGAGGTTTGAGTTAGCTAACCATTACCAATTGAACCTGAATACCAAATCTCTTAGCCCTGTGCACTCAGAAGTAGAAAGGTGAATCTGCCTCATACAGTTGAGTTAAGTAAGATTATTCATAAAAAGTGTGTAGTGCATAGCTCAGAGTAATCACTTACTGCATGTTAACTACTACTCTAAATCTTAGTCCATTCTAAACTTAGATGGCCCAAAAGATGAAGTCACAACTTTATATAACAATTGATTACTTTCTAAAAATTTTATTAGAGATGACAAAATTGAAAGGAAGATTTATGGCCTTAAACCATGTCCCTTTTAAAAAAAATTGTACATTTTAGTTTGTTAAACAGTTGTATTGGTTCCATATTTAGTTGATCTATATATTTTAGTTTGTTAAACAGTTCTCTTGCTTCCATATTTAGTTGATCTTTTGAAAATGAAGTTGCCACTTAATGCTTACTTTGACATATTTAATGTTTCAATTAAATGAAAGTGTTTATTCTTGTGCTTACTGAAAGGTTAATCTTTGACATTTAGATGTCTTGCTTCCATGTATTTTGCCAACTCTTATTTTGTGGTGTGCTGCACTTTTAATCAACCTGCAGTTTTTGTAAGAGTCAATTTCCTTGTCGCCAGAGAATTATAAAATATTTTATGCAGATGGTATCCTGGGGAGACGGGGAAGGAAAACGAGCAAGAAAGAGACTGAGGGATTCATCAAGCTAGAGATGTCATTAATCACTGCTTTTTAGCTTCACCTGCTCAGTGGACATACTTTCTTTCTTTTTTTTTTCAGCAATATTTTGTGCTCTTGATCATTACTGATGGTGTGATCACAGACCTTGATGAAACCAGACAAGCTATCATTAATGCTGCCAAGCTGCCCATGTCCATCATCATTGTTGGAGTTGGAGGAGCTGACTTTGGTGCCATGGAGTTTCTGGATGGTGATGGGGGAAGTCTCCGCTCCCTAAACGGCGAGGTGGCCATCAGAGATATTGTCCAGTTTGTGCCTTTCAGACAGTTCCAGAATGTGAGTATCACTCTTCCCTATTCAGACTCAGAACTTTGCCAGTCTACAACCAAGCAGTTGAGTAAGTGTGCAGGGTTAGGAGACATATGACTGTCATCTCTTTCACATATGAAAGCTCTCATTGGATTTGGCATTGTTTCATCTTCTTGTGTGTTTCTTGTAGTCTGTGTGATAAATTATTAAATTGATATTGTTGTGAATATCTTAAGATACATTTTATCTTTACCTTTGTAACAACAGAAAAGCACTCTATACAAGAATATGCTGAATTCAGCAAGCTGGATGTTGGTTGAATAAAAATGTCTTAGAAGACTTTTACCCAGTTGACTTCTATTGTAACACATTGTAGAAGCATAGTACAGAATCACAGCCAGGATATTTACATAGGTATAATCAAGTTACATCACCATGGGGAATCACCAAGGATCCCCTGGGTTGCCCTTTTATTTCTAGATCCATTTCCCTTCTATGTCTCTCTGCCCCTCCTTAATCTATGGAAATCACAAATCTATTCTCCATTTCTTGTCATTTCAACATAAATGGAATCACACAGTATGTGACCTTTTAGAATGGGCAGTTTTCTTTTCAAAAAAGCTGTGTAGGCTAGCTCTGTCATTTAGTCCATTTAGTCTTTCTATAAGTCAGTGTTTGTGTTAAAAGTTCTACATCTGTGCTTCAACACTTTCCATTTTTTTCACATTGAATTCTTATATAGAAAGCTTTGTTAATTGTTCTTATAACTACATAGAATGCCACATTTTATAAATGATATATAAGCCCTTGTAATATTATAAACTAATTTTTTTTGGGGGGGTACCGGGGATCGAACTCAGGACCTTGCACTTGTGAGGCAGGGGTGGTGCCACTGAGCTAAATCCCCGGCCCTATAAACTAATTTTTAAGGCTAGTCTTGGGAAAAGAACATGTAAAAATATGATTTATAATGTTATATGAAATTTAATATGATGTGTGGAAATTATAGAAGTCACATAAAGCCTTAATAGATTCTGCATATTACTCTTCCCAAGTAACCTTCATGAAAGGCTATCAGTTTCTATAATCTTACTGAAAGCTATTTTAAGTCTGTTTACATGTATTCCCCTTTGTTGCTGAGTAAATTTCATGTTGATGTGTCACAGGGCACTTAACCATGCACCTATGAAAGGACCTATGGGCTTTTTCCAGCTTTTTAAAAAAAAAATTATATACAAAGCTGGTATAGACATGCTTTTTGTTTTTAAGAACTGAGTTTTTATTCCTCAGGGATAAATGGAGTTGGTAGGTCCTATGGTAGTTGCATATTTATTTATTAAAGCAACAGTCAAACTTTACCAAAGTGGTCATACCAGTTTATGTTCCCATTAGCAATGGGAGGAAAAGTGAGATGTGTGAGATTATAAAGTGGTAGTGTTGAGGATCTTAGTGATGATGAAACAGTTCTGTATCTTGATTGTTGGGGTACTTATACACATCTGCCCAGATTATGGAATTGCATATGGCTGCATACACACACACACATGCATGAGACACATGTGCATGTGACATACATAAGCACTCACATCACACGTGGGGCTTGTATGTAAATCTAGTGAATCTGAATAAGGACTGGGAATTGTACCATGCCAGTTTCCTGGTTTTATAATTATGCTATAGTTGTATAAGATGTTACCTTTGGGAGAAACTAGGGAAGGGTATGTAGGACTTCTATTTTTGCAACTTGCTGTGAGTTCATAATTATTTTAAAATAGGAAATTTAAGAAGTTAATACCAAGTGAATAAAAGACTCACATTTAAAAGTGAAAGAACAACAACAAATCATCAAATGTTAAAAGGCTTGCTCAAGAGGACTTGACACATATGAGGAGGGATAATAATAGCAGTCATAAGTAACATTGATTACTTAGCTTATTCCATATTCGTTGACTGTTCTGAGATACAAGCCTAGGCACTGAATTATGCCTTGATTACAGCTGTTGAGGTATTCCTAATCTTTTATCAAAAAGCCAGTAAATCTTCATTGCTAACAGTCACTTTGATTTTTGTTTTCCTGAAGGCTCCAAAAGAAGCACTTGCTCAGTGTGTCTTGGCGGAGATTCCCCAGCAGGTGGTGGGCTACTTCAACACGTACAAACTCCTTCCTCCCAGGAACCCAGCCACGAAATAAAAGGAGTTGTTACCACTTCAATAGAATTCTTACACTGCCAGGAAACAATGCCATCTCTTACATAAAATCATGTATCTGTCATTTTTTTGTACATTTCACCCCCTGCGTTTATGATGTAAACCTGGTTCTTTATGGCTTTTATCTGTTTAAAGCATTTTTCTTTAGGAGAACAGTGCCAAGTCCATCTCTGCCAGTCAATCCGGTGATTGATAGTAATTTACAGTAATTGCAATGAGGTTGTTTGGATTAGAACCTAATGTGGAGAAAACTGATTTTTGTTTGCTTTTTTATGATGAAAATACCAGGTAAAATGTTTGTCAGAAAGAATGAAAAATTCTTGAGATGAAGTATTTTGCAGGTTGCTATAATCTGTATGTAGTAAATGTTTTACAAGCTTATGTCCACACTATTGATTGAGAAAGCTTCTTAAGTTAGTATTGAATTTTCTCCTATATCTCTATATTCAATCCTTTTCCTTGAAGTAAAGACTACCTTTACTTGGCACCTGATTGTTTGTGTAGTTTAGATGCTGCACAGTTACAAAGCATCTTGCGCTCACATGGGATTTGTTGAAAAGGAAATTACTCAGTTTTTAAAATATATAATCACCAAGTAAAAAGAATCTCATGTAAGTATGCCCTGCTTATTTGCCTTTCTAGATTTTTTATTTTTTTGTGGAATACTGTAAACATGGTCAGAATTGACCTTTCTTTTCACTGACTGAATGTGATATTCAGGATTCTGTGGATGCACAGATTGTAGGTGCATAGGTTGTCTCAGATTCTACCTTATTAGTTTTATTTGAATTGAGGTTTGTTCGCTGAAATGCTTAGGATTGTTTTGTTCAGGGATGCTATGAGGACCAAACATATAAGGTGAAAATTCATAATTCCATTTTCTCTAATAAATAACTTGACTTTTTTGTTCATCTGTTTTCGTACCGGGGATCGAACTCAGGACCTGGCGCTTGTGAGGCAGGCGGCAGAACCACTGACCTAAATCCCTGGCCCGACTTATTTTTTTTTAAACAGTAGTTTTTATGCTTTCCCTGCTAAGGTTCCATATATTGATTTGTACCAATTTAGATATTTTCTCTTTTTCAAAAAAATAACATTTTTCTCTGATTTTTAAACTCATCCTACTGTTTATCTATTAATCAAAGGCTCTTTTTACATTTTAGTAATGTGCTGTTTCCTATACTATTAAGTATAAAACCTGGTGTGACTTAAAAACAACAACAACAAAACTTAGAGTGGACTTAATATGCTTCTTTAATTTTTTAATTTTATTTTCTGAGGATTGAACCCAGAACCTCACTCTTACCACTGAGTTAGATCCCCAGCCCTTTAAAAATTTTATTTTGATACAGAATCTCACAAAGTTGCCCAGACAGGGCTTGAACCTGTGGTCTTCATGCCTCAGGCTCTTGAGTAGCTGGGATTGCAGCCATGTGCCACTATGTCTGGCTTTAATCTGCTTTTTTAAAAGAGATTAATTTCGTTGCCTGGGATTGTATGCTAGTGGTAAGAACACTTTCCTGGTATGCACGAGGCCTTTGTTTCAGTCTCCAACACTATCCCCCTTCCAAAAACAGTAGGATTTATTTTTCTGACTTTACCCTTTAGGATGTATTACTTACATTTTCAAAATAGGTTTAGGACATTTGACCAAGGACCTGTGTGTTAAGTACTGTGAATATCCATACCAGTTAGCCGATTATTATTGGTAATGGCACGTTTTAAGTTATGTGTTCATCACATATTCTTGAGCGGATGTGCATAACACCATGCCCGCACGCCTCAGTGTTAGTTAATACCTACAACACAGCCCATGCCTCTTGTTCTGTGACATCTGAAAGAAGTAAGGTATTGGCCACAAATAGCTTTGGCTTCCCAGAAACAGCTCATTGCAAAAGTCTGGCTCAGAGGGTACCTACTTGCTGTCCTAGTTGCTTAGCCCAGGCGAGCAGTTGCTTCCTTCCCACTTGGCCAGCTGGCCTCTGGCTCGGTGTTCAACCTGACAGTGCATACTAACCTAACCATCTGCCACTCTAGCACCTCTGTTGAATGGCTCATTAGTTGACGTCATTGTAACATTATCAGTAGAGAAGAATAAACTGATCATTCTTCCTAGTTTGGGGCTTTCATTGTCTCAGATGGCATAATTCCAGTTCCCTGTACATGCCTAGAAGCAGCACAGCTATGTTGCTGTGGTTCTCAGAATTGTCTTTTTTAAACGCAGAATGCCTGAATAAATGACTTTTGCTTGTTCTCTGTGTGGTAAAACAGGTGGAAGCGGAGGAGGCAGGTCACACTGGGGCTCCTCAGACTGTCATACCATCTCCTCAGCAACACTGGAGTCACCTGGGAACTGCTAGTCATGAGTGTTCATTGTGATCTTTGGACAAATACAAGTCACCATGGTCAATTTGATTTGATCTTCATAATTTTATATTTTGATTTCACCAGAATTGTTCCCTTTGAAAAATGTTTTTTCTTTATTCATTCTTGATCAGGTTCACTAGTACATGTGTTATTGGCAAGTACTATGAATCCAGCAAATTAAGGTATTGGTGCCTTCCTGCAGTTTGAAAGAAAAACATTTATAATTTCAAAATTACCTTTTGATGAAATTCTTAGTTTTAACACTTGCCCTCATCACATGCTGCTTTAATACTGATTTATTAAAGTCATCCACTTCCCTCTTGTGCCACCATTCATTCCAGTACCCTTCAATTTTGAAATGCATTTAAAGAACAACCAAATTGATTTTCACACGTCATATAATCAGATATATTACAAACGTATATTAAGGTGACGGTGTCCTGGGTTTCTCACACATGAACATACTGAGAAAATAGCATACCCACTAGCCTTGTTACTTCATCTTGTGGTTAGAGTTGAAATTGTAAAACCATTAAAAATTTAGAGTCTGATCAGGGATTTACAAGTGTTCCCTTTGGTTAGTTTTTAGCAGTCTTTCCATAGTAAATTCAGGGCCCCCTTGCTGCTTATGCTACATTTTGACACCCTTTACCTTTTTCATTTTGTATTTTCTAAAAAGCCATCTTCATTTAGTTGCTTCTAGTATCTTTTTTTTTTTTTAATGGAAGTGACATACATGAGGTAAGCCGGAAGTTTGGTGGAAATTGTGAGAGATTATATTGTGTTTTTATGTTTGTCATAATGATAGTACATGTAAAACTTACTCATATATGAATTGATGTTATATATATCTTCCATGTGAATTCCCTTGGATAAAGTTATTTCTTGATGTGACGTAGTAGTGTCTTTTCATTTTTATTTTCTACCTATCAAAACAATAGGAAAGTTAGAAATAACTTATATCTTAGTCCATTTTATGACATTATAACAAAATACCACACTGGGTAATTTATAAATAAAAGAGGCTGAAAATTCAGTGACATGAACCCCGCACATTGTGAGGTCCTCTGTGTTATGAGGTATGATTGAAATATACAACGAATGTTTAAATTTTTAAAAATTATTGTAGTTAAGACACATTGCCATTAATCCTCTTTTCAAAATATTCCCTATTGCTTCAAACACACTTATCCCATTGTTCTTGCCACTTTCTGAAGTGCCTTAATGAGATGTGAACAAAAATAGGGTGAATGTTGTTGCCAAGTGCCAGCCAGCGGAAAGGCAGGCTCGTAAAAACAGCGTGTCCACATCAACTGTTCACCACATCTGTCACACATGCCTTCTGGCTCTTCAGCCTAAAGTCAAAATGACCATGAAATGTGTTTTGAATTGATTCAGGATATCAGGGCAGTCAGGACAGTGCCACTAAGGACATGCAAGAAAGATGACTTCCCAAACTGCTTCAAAAAGTGATAGCAGCGATGGACTAAGTGTATTCAAAGTGAAGAGTATTAATGGCAATACGTAATCATTTTTTTTAAAAAACACTAGGCGTTCACCATATATTTTGATCACACTGTGTGTGTCCTGACATGGTAGAAGAGCAAGTGAGTAACTCACTCCTGAATAGCAGCATTAATTCCTTTAGGAGGGCAGAACCCTCATGTACCAATCAACTCTTAATGTTCACATCTCTTAATGCTGTTATAATGGCATATAAATTTCAGCATGAATTTTGGAGGGGACACTGCATAGTATAAAATGAATATAGTATTTAGGTAGCCTGTGTATCATATTTCACTAAATTACACATCTTGGGGGAATCTAGTGATATTTGTTTAAACGATCTTGAATGGGTTCAGGGTACTTTTCTAGGGGCCTTAGTGGTAGGGCATTTACATTTTATCAGTCATGTTAAGCATGACAGGATGTCCGTTTTAACTTTTAAAAAAAATGTTTAATTGCTTCTCTTATGTTCCAGTTATAGAGCAGGGCTTTGGAGGTATTCCAAAAGGCAGCCACAGTTGCTACTTTCATTCAAACAGTGCTCTAGTAAGGGAGAGAAAACATTAAAGCATTAGAGAGATATTGAGCTCAGTGTGGAACAGTATAGTAGAGAGACCTAGCCCACCAAGGAGGCAAAAGGCTCTTCCCTGAGGATAAACTCTGTAAGCTAACACCTAAAAGTTAGCTGCTGAAGAGGGTTAGAATCACAAAGGTATCAGGTAAACAGCAGGTATGGAGTTGAATGTTTTAGGAAGGGGAAAAAGTTTGAATTTGCTGGAATATGCAGTGTCAAAGGGAAAGTAAAAGAGGTAGAATAGTTGGTTGGGTCTGCATCTTGGGTTGGGGTGGGGGGACCCCAGGGGCAGGTAAGGGAGTTCAGAATTTGGGTAAGGGTAATGGGATACTAAATGGGTTTCAAGAAAAAATTGTGTGATCGTATTTGTGATTTTGAAAAACTGGAGCAGGGATGGGGGGCTTGTATATTACAGTAGTCAGATGGACCCACAGCCCATAGGGGCGCTGTTGCCAATCTTTTTTTTTTTTTTTTT